AGCAAGCACTGGCCACTGAGTTCTACAAGCAGAAGCTGCCAAGGCCTGTTGGCAAGCAGTGATTTGGGGGGTCACAGGTCCTTGTCCAGGGACTCCCTGCCACCTAGGCATCAGGATCCTGGACTCTGGGCATCCCTGTGGGGTCCTGCCTTGTCCGGAACTCTGGGCAGGAACAGATATACCCACCCCGAAACTGCCTTTAGGGAAGTAATGGCAGCTTCCTCTTCCTGGAGCATTCAGGCCAAGGTGTCAGGGCCAACTGAGAGGGTCTCCGTTCCTCACCTGCTCAGGTTGGTGCTTGATAGGAACTCAAGACAAGCTGGACCCACTCTGTGGCCTGTGGTGAGCCCCAAGTCTCTTCTGGCTGTAGGGATAAACTGGCAGGTTCCACTACTCCATTCCAGCTGAGGTGCTGTTATTTCATTGTCCTTTATGGTCTCATCCAGATGGTGCTAGGCTTGGTGACATAGGGACAAGTCATGCCTCCTCTGGTGTTTATGAGGCACTGGCCAGGTAGTCACCCTCTTCCTCCAAAATGACCTCTCCCAAAAGGACTCCTGGATTTCTGAGTGAGAAGGAACCAGGATGCCTGTGATGTACCTCACTGGATGACTATGGTTGGCTACTGGCCCATTCCGGGCCTCAGTTGAGTCAGCTGCAAAGCAAAGGGTTTGTCTAGCTCTCGTCCTTGATTTTATTGCTGGCCCTTCCCCAAACGTACCCTCTCAGTCCTACCTCCCTACTTTCGTATGTGCCATTTGTTCCCTCTCCCTGGTACGTTTTTCCTCACTGTTCATCCTCAAGCACTTCCATATCACCTCTACCAAGAAGACTTCCGGACTCTATCGAGCCCGGCTCGATAGAGTTTATTTAATTTGACAGATATTTGCCTGTCATCCTATAAGGAGTCTGGTATCAGGGACATGGGTGGGAGAGACTTACCACCAGGATAGTGGGATCTGGCAAGGGAAGGGGAAACCCAGGACAATGAGAGAGGCCCAGTCACAGCCTGGGAATGGAAAACAGAAAGGAGAGATTAATGATGAGATATAGGAGTCAAAGGGGAATAGCAAATGTTGCAAGTGGAAGGAGGTGAGGTGGACCCTTGGGTGGGGACAGTCCCTATAGGGTCTTACAGAAATCACTAAACCCTACTGAAGGTTTTCTGTGTGCCATGCTTGTTCTGAACATTTTTATGTTTCCTCTCTTAGTCTTGATCTCTGCCTGTGCATTGGGTATGTATACCTGCTAGACCCATTTTACTGATAAGAAAACTGAGGCGTAACCGGGCTTGGTGGCTCAGCCTGTAATCCCGCGCCTTGGGAGGCTGAGGTGAGTGGATTACCTGCGCCCGTGGGTTTGAGACCTGCCTGGGCAACTTGGTGAGACCTCATCTCTACAATAAATCAAAAAATTAAGCCGGGCTCGGTGACTCAGCCTGTAATCCCGCACCTTTGGGAGGCTGAGGTGAGTGGATTGCCTAAGCCCGCAGGTTTGAGAGCCACCTGGGCAGCGAGACCTCATCTCTACAATAAATCAAAAAATCAGCCAGTGTGGTAGCACATGCCTATAATTCTGGCTACTTAGAAGGCTGAGGTGGAAGGATCACCAGAACCCAGCAGGTCGAGGCTGCGGTGGCCAGGAGCGGCCACTGCACTCCAGTCTGGGCGACAGAGTGACACTCCAACTCAAAAAAAAAAAAAAATTTGCTGGGTGTGGTAGAGCACGCCTATAGTTCCAGCTACTAGGAAGGCTGAGGCAGAAGGATCACCGGAACCCCAGCATGCTGAGGCTGCGGTGGCCGGGAGCGGCCACTGCACTCCAGTCTGGGCGACGGAGTGAGACTCCAATTCAAAAAAAAAGAAAAAGAAAAGAAAACTGAGGCGGCTGGGCTTGGTGGCTAAGCTTCTAATCCCAGCACTTTGGGAGACCGAGGTGAGTGGATTGCCTGAGCCAGCGGGTTTGAGACTCCCCGGGCAACTTGGTGAGACCTCGTCTCTACAATAAATCAAAAAAATTAGCCGGGCATGGTATCGCGTGCCTGTGGTTCCAGTTACTTGGAAGGCTGAGGCAGAAGGATCACTGGAGAAGGATTGCTGGAGCCCATCAGGTCAAGGCTGCTGTGGCCAGGAACGTGCCACTGCACTCCAGCCTGGGCAACAAAGTGAGACTCCAACTCAAAAAAAAAAAAAAAAAAAAGAAAACCAAGGCATAGGGAGTTTCTGGTACTTGTCCAAAGTAACATGTAGCTGGCAAGTTTGTAGACTGCTCCCAAAAGTCCTTGCTGCCAACTACCACCCTACTGCCTCTGCCTCCTGCAGAGTCCAGACCAGTGGGTGTGCGTTTTATTCTCAGGGTACTGGGGAGCCACAGAAGGTTTGTGAGCAAGGGAGTGGTGTGATTTCTTTTAGTAGGAGTTCCTTGGCTGCCATGTGGAGGATGGATTATAGGCGAACCAAGGAGAAGGCTATAGCCCTAGACTAGGAGACAATTGGGACAGATTTGAGGGGAAATTGAGGAGAGGAAGAGGCTGAAAGCATGTGGGAGTAAGGGTGGGAGCATCATTTTCTGGCAGGTGGGAGGACCATGAAGTGGTACAGGAACAGGGACCACTGGGCATGAGATGTAGCTGGCTCCGGACAGTGTAGGTTTGAGGTGCCCAAAGTGTCTGGGGGAGGCTTCAGAGCAGTGGTGGACATGGTGCTGACGATTGCGGGGGAGAAGTCAGGCTGGAGATGACCTTTGTGGGGTTCTGAACACCTGGAGTGAGAGATGTGTGGCTTGAGTGGCAAGCAGAGGTCTGGCCTAAGCCGGGGTCCCTCATGGAGATGGAGAAGGAGCCGCCAGCAGGGAGGAAACAGGGGCTGCGTGACTGGAGGTGAGTAGCTAACTGGTGAGAAGTGTGCAAGAACCACAGGACCTGGTCCCCTGGTCCAGGGCTGAGGAAGGCTCTGCTTTCTAGTGGCCCCCATCCTGCACTGCCTCCATAGATTGGGGTCTGTGTTGTGCCCACCTCCTGAGAGCTGGGCCTCCAAGGGGCTGACAGGTTCTCCTTGTTGCCTGGCAACTGAGCGAGCTGTTGGCTGTTGCTAGGAGCAGGCTAGGGAGGCCAGAGGAGCCAAGATCCGCTCTCAGGCATGGGGCGGGGCCAGTGGTGGGGGGAGGGGAGAGGCTCTCTAGTAGACAGGTTTGTAGACTGTGCATTTACAGACTGTTCTTGTCTGTGTGCACCCATTTTTATAGTTTTTTTTCTGTGGATTTGAGGCATGTTGGAGTCTAGACTTGTGTGTGGATGTATAGACTACATCTCTGTCTGTGTCCCTGGTGGGTTTTTTTTCCTTTGAGTCAGAGTCTCACTCTGTCACCCAGGCTGGAGAGCAGTAGCACGCTCATAGCCACTGCAGCCTCAACCTGCTGGGCTCAGGCGATCCTTTCCTCCTCAGCCCTTCAAGTAGCTGGAACTACAGATGCACACCACCATGCCCAGCTAATTTTTTTTTTATTTACTGTAGAGACGAGGTCTCACCAAGTTGCCCAGGCTGGTCTCGAACCCCTGGACTCAGGCAATCCTCTTGTCTCGGCCTCCCAAGGTGCTGGGATTATAGGCTTGAGTCACTGCACCCAACCCTGGTGGGTTTTATGTGTTCTCATTATGCTTGTTGCATGCCCCTGGTAGGGCCTGCTTGAGCTTTGCCTCCAGGCAGGAGGGAGCCCTGGGAGAAGCACTGGAGGACTTACAGGCAATGACTCCTCAACAAGGAGACATTCAGGTAGGGATACACAGATACTCCAGGGAGAACAGACAGCTCAAGGATTGGGAGCTGGAACAAGATGTTTACTAGGGTACTAAGGAGGGAGTCTATGCCAAACGGGCCGTTGACCGCAAACTCCCTGCCTGGCTTTAGGGATCTTCCCTGTCTTTGGGCTGCAGTCTCCTGGACTTATGGCACTGGGACTACACAGGATACAATCTTACTAATTTTTGGCAGACTCTTCTAATGTCCAGTTGAGGCTAGGGCTGTGGGATCCTCCTGGAAGAGCAGGATCAAAAAGACTTGAAGCCGGGCTCGGTGGTTCAGCCTGTAATCTCGTGCCTTGGGAGGCTGAGGTGAGTGGATTGCCTGAGCCCGCGGGTTGGAGAC